TCAGTAAGTCGTTCTGGCATTTAAATTTGGCCATTAACATTTTAGCTATGGTGGCCTTGCGCGAATGCTTTGCAATCCTAACGTTGACGCGCTTATTTTTACCAAAGTTAAGAATAAATGCAAAATTTTATTGAGTCACTGCTAAAATCCGACAGTGCACAATGAGCGTCAGACGCTGGGTGACTATGGTCATCGAAAAAGTTAAACAGTGATTTCGATGCTGTACAATACAATATTTTTAGGAATAATCCGTCGAATTCGATTAGGCTTCCGTGACGATATTCGTAACGTAGGTTTTGAAAATATAGAATAGAACAAAATTTTAAATAGTGTCTGACTGAATACCGATTTAATTCACTTATCTGACCGTGATCCTCTGTCGCGTGAACGAAATACATAAATTATTTTGACAAATTAAAAGGAGAGGCGAGCAAACGGAGGAAAATGTTCCAAAGACGCGAGCTATGCGCGAGAAAGGGAAATATTTGACGACAAGTGCTAAGCCGCAGCAGTGACATAAAGTTTCGCATTGGACACGCGTAAATTGCGGCGTGGCATCGACGGTCGGTCGAAACGGTTCTCGTCGCGTCTAACAGAATCGTTTCTAGTGGGCTGACACTGGAGTGGCTCCGAGTGGCAAGGCGTCCGGGAAGCAGAACCCCCTCGAAATTCCAGCGGGTCAGACTGTGGATCAACGGAACTTGGAATCCGGTACATTAACCGACCACAAAGCGTACAGTGCTATGGCCGCGAATCGCTCGTAAACCGTGCAAACATCGTTCGCAACGTTTCCCTTCTACGACCATTCTAACCCCTCTTAACTGTCGCGTTTAAATGACATTCTTCGCTTCCTTCTGGCAAGCTCGAGCGCCGCGAAAACCGTGGCCCATTAACGGAACCAGCTTTTCCACCGATATTTATTCTGTAGGTATACGCAACGTCATTCGTTGGATACGAGGAAGCTGGGAAAAACCTCTTCTCGTGGGGTAGACGCGTTCAATGCGGCTCGATCGATAGGAAAGGAATGCTCTTTCTTCGACAGAGTAACGTACTTATCGCGAGATACATTAAGTTTCGGCATACACGGTTTGCGTCGTTACACGGGACGCTATTGTGACGGAGAATACGTCGAATCGTACGTACAGCTTGTACCTCAAATTTCTCGGCTGAATCGACAGAATGTTGTGTATGTAATTCTTGTTGAAAAGTTTTGGAACAATTAATTCTTTACGATAAATATTATTGTAGGATACATTGGACACAAGTATCGTACATTGCTCGATATCCTTAAGCGGATGCTTATCTTTCTGTCTCTGCTCTTCTGCACGGTTTCGCAGAGATCTTCGCGAGAGATCGGAGAGGGGCGATTCGGAAAAATACATTGGCTAGATATTCGATTTCGTTTGGACGGTCGTCGGAATAGTTTCAGGTATTGCTGACCTAAATCGAGAGATATCGCACGTATCTGCGATCGAGATCGAGAGTTCCACTCCGCTCGAATGGACCGATAATTGTCCGGTACTGGATCCGTCCAAGATCAGAAGAGCAGCGAATCTGCCCAGGATCCTGCGACGATGCGACGTAAAAAAGGATTCGCGTGCAGTTAAGTGGCCCTTGGCTGGCTACGGGGAGTTTGTCTAACCGGAATGGGAGAATGGCAGAGGGCTGAGAAAGCACTGCGGTTGACGAACTTTTTAGAGGCACTTGGCGATCCTTCTTTCAAAGCAGAAATCAAATCGATAATGGCTCTGTTCGAGGCGTGGAAGCACGGACGGGATAACCGTTTTTGTTGACGATGAACCGCCAGCATTGGCGAAACGTATACATTGGAGTCTCCGTAACTGCCGAGTACGTTCCCGCTACTCGGGATTCGTAAATCTCGGTCAAGCGACGGAGATTTACGGATAATCGCAGTTTCCGTGCGGAATTTACCCGGAAAATTGCGAGTATACGATCTCGATGGATAGCGAACGACACGCGAGACACGACTTTACGCCACTTAGGAGATTTTAGCACAACGAACAAAACCGCGTAGGATGGTTACCTCCCATCGCGTACTCACGTTCTGGAAACGACAACGAGGTAGGATCAGCGAGAGAGAGAGAGAGAGAGAGAGAGAGAGAGAGA